CTGCCTTTCCTAAATTATTGGATGAAACAGAATATCTGATACTTGGAAATAGAAGGTTAAAATGGAATGCACAGGTCCAAGAAAAAATGATTCAGATCCTGGATTCCCATGAATTTGCTTTATTAAAGGGGAAAATGTTGTTAGAAACAGGAAACGTAATTGGACTTTATGAGAACATAATCAACCAAATGCGCCCACTGATGACCACAGCTAGTGTGATAAAAAACAAAAAGTTTAAGAGACAGACTTGGTTTGATAAGGAATGTCAGAATAGCAAAAAATACCTAGCTAGGGTACTTAGAAAATTGAAGTTAAAACAGGATAAGCACAATCTTGCCCTACAAGCTGAGGTAGCCCAGTTACGAAACAACTATAAATTATTACTTAAAAGCAAGAAACAAATATATTATGAACAACAGTGGAAAGAATTGGGAGATGCAGCACTTCAGAAGGACTCACGGAAATTTTGGCATCTGGTTGCCCAAGGCACAAATGCGCTGGGCTACTCGTTAGAAGCATCTGTCCAAGGAAAGGATTGGGTGACATATTTTACAGAAATATATGGCCCCTGCCCTGACCTATGCCCACAAGTTTACTATACCCAGTTATCAGAACTGCCAGAATGGCCAGACGTCACGCCCAATCAAATTAAGAGGCTAATCGCAAGCCAACTAGCTAATAAAGCTCCAGGAGAAGACATGATCCCAATGGAGATCTATAAAATAAGACCTGATTTCTGGTCACCCATATTTGCAAAATTGTTTTCATACATTAACAGCTCAGGTCGTATACCTGAAGGGTGGAAGTTGAGCATAATTGCCCCAATATATAAAAAGGGTGATAAGAAAAACCCTGCCAATTATAGACCCATTAGTTTGTTAGATGTAGCCTCCAAACTATATGCCAGGCTCCTTCTTGGGAGACTAGAAGAATGGGCAGATACAAATAAGGTGATATCTGAAGTCCAGGCAGGTTTCCAAAGAGGGAAATCCACATTGGACCAGTGCTTTGTGCTGAACTTTCTGCTATGTAAATACATCCATAACTTGAAGCAAAAATTATATGTTGCTTTTATCGATCTAAAGTCAGCTTTTGATACGGTCCCAAGACACGCTTTGTGGCAAAAACTGGAAAAGACAAATATAGATCTCCGTCTATTATTTCTCATCAAAACATTATATACTGACACATCAATACAAGTAAAGGTGGATCTGGCTGGCCATCTCACCACTAGAATTAAGACCACCACTGGAGTCAAACAGGGATGCATTTTGGCACCTTTCCTGTTCAATTTTTATATTAATGACATGGTTAAAGAACTGGAGGGCCTACAGTTTGCCCCTGTCACAATTCTCGACCAAAAACTCTCAGTTTTAATGTATGCTGATGACCTAGTACTTGTATCTAGAACCCAGGTGGGCCTGAGACGGCTGCTTGCAAAATTAAGTTCATATTGCATGAGGAATGCTTTATCTATAAACTATGACAAGACGCAGGTCATTGTATTTGGGAAGCGTTCCAAAAAGCATGTTTGGCACCTGGATGAACACATCATAAACCAAGTAAATACGTTTAAATATCTGGGATTGATTTATTCAGAAACGGCATCTTGGAATACACAGCTATCCAATATCAAATTGCAAGCCTTTAAATCAGCAAAAGCCATTCTGAAATTCGCTGCATGTAAAGGTGGAAATCTGGTCAACCCAGCTCTATCTGTGTATAAAGCAAAAACAATGGCCCAGATTTTATATGGCGCAGAGGTTTGGGGTACCTCAAAGGTCTCCGGTCTGGAACCCCCACAGAATTATTTTTAAGAGTTCTTTTAGGTTTACCCAAAGACATGCAATCTGCCATGGTCAGGTTGGAAACTCACATGTTGAGCATAGAGAGCCAAATAGATAAAAGAATTCTCTGTTACTGGTTTAGAGTTCAACAGATGGACAACACTAGGCTACCAAAAAAATGCCTGATTGAGCTCTCAAATGGATTACCCCTTAAAAACTGGGTACATCATGCTGCTCAACTGATGGGCAAATATGATCTCTCAGTGACTGAGATTAAAGAACTCCCCTTATATTCACAGAAAAATATGTTTAAACGAACCATAAGGGCAGTGGCAACTAAAAACGATCTAAACTCTATGTGCACATCTACATGCGCCCCATTGTATTTTAAACTTAGAGAGGTCAATGAACACATATCTTATTTTAATGAATTGACTTTTGCACAGCTTCGAAAAGCTTTTACAGAGCTACGACTAAATACAATAAGCTCTGCTTATAGAGATGGGAGACATAGAGGCATACCAAAAAACGAACGTGTTTGCATTAGGGGATGTTCTGAAGTAGAGGACCTTATGCATTATATCTTGCACTGTCCGTTATATAATGATGCAAGAAAAAGATTTTTGGTACCTATAATGACAGGGTCCCCTGGCCAGAACCCCCTCGATATGATGTTATATCTCCTTGCAGACACAGATAAGTATGTGACCTGGCGGGTAGCACTTTTTGCAACTGCTGCCAGGAAAATTAGAGCAAATTATATAGCCAAGGTAGCCATTAACTGTAAAGGAGATGAATTTATTTGATCCTATCTATCTACCTCAGGCTATGCTCTATCTTTGTCACCAAACTCTGAGTATAAATTGCACACTGTATTAATTGATATTGTTTTTAACATTAGTGACCATGTGATGATTTTAGCTTATGAATTTTATTGTTTAATGTTTTTATTTGTACATTGGGGTACTTTTATAGCTTTGTTTAGAGTATGTAATGTTTTAATAATATAAATGTTTTAAGCCTTTTTTTACCAATTCAGTATATTTACTTTTAACTGTCAAATAATTCTGTGTACATTGCGGCAGCCTTTGGCTATGTGCAATAAAACTGACTGAGATAGTGCCTATTAATCAGCTCCAAAGGAATTGGGTGGAGCTTTTGCTCGGGAGGGAGGGCAGGAGGCATGCAGCCCGCCCCTCCCTGTGCATTTTGGGCTGGGGGAGGGGCGGCGATGGCGCTCTGCTGGAGGGGCGCCGGAGATTATTGGGGGGGCGGAGCCCCCCCAAACGAATTTTTGAGGGGGCTCGGGCCCCCTCAAGCCCCATGGAGTCGGCGCCTATGCACAGGACTCCGCATTCTCAGTGAGGCCAGTTTGAGAGAAGAGAACATGCTGTGGCTGGGTTGCAGTTTACTGCTGGCGGCTCTTGCAGGTACAATCCCCCCCCAAAAAAATCTGGACAGTTTATCTGCCCAAGAATAGACATGAAATGTTGGGTGAGGATGAACAAAACTGCAGTACAGAAGCTGGAATGCAAATCCACGGCCATCAATCCAGTAGAGGTGTCCTGGCAACAGAGGAGGGGAAGGAGAACCAGGCAGTTAAGCCAGGAAACAGAAATACAGGAGGGCTATCACCATTGTCAGTCATACTCAGATTTAACCCACTGATATTAATGGGCATGGCTAACTTAAGTCCACTGATTTCAGTGGGACTACTCTGAGTATTACTTAGTTGGATACAACCCAAAAACCCATTCTCTACACTGACCATTCAGACTATTCACCCAGTCCCACTTTATTAAAAAAGCTCAGTGGTGTTAGACTTACCATAGCAGCATTTGGTCAATCTGTGCTGTCCATCACTGAATTTGTTCTGTAACAGTGTGTGAAACTGACATATCCCTAAGCAACTTGGTCCCAAAGTACCATGAGACCCCAAAGTACTTACTTTCCAACGTGACCACCACGATCTGTTGATGGGGCACTTCTGCTGGTCTCCTCACCCCAATGAACCCCGAGGTTTAGCTGGACGTCATTAGGGATTGAGCCTTTGGTGTGGCAGCCACTGCCCTGTGGAACTCCCTGCCACCAAGAGCCATCCCTCCCTTCAGACATCTTTTGAAAACTTTAATGTTTAGAGAAGCCTTTGTAACATGAATCTTCTTTCATAGTATTGTAGAGTTGGAAGGGACCCCTAGGGTCATCTAGTTCAATCCCCTGCAATGCAGGAATCTCAACTCTGTTAACTAATTAGTATTTATTGGCATTTTAATGATGTTTTCATGCTGATTTTATTCTCATATATAATAATACACATATACAGTACATATATATGGTTGTAAGAAAATAAATTAACAGCTCGTATCAGAATACTGTAATCAAAAGCAGTCAATTATTTGGGCTGATTGGTACAAAGAGGAAATGTCACTATTACATGGGGCAAACCAGCAGTGTTACTTGTTATAGTTACTGTTTTGGAATAGTCTACAATAATACATTATGATCTTTCCTGTGGTTTAAAACTGTGGCTTTTATTTTAGCAGTATGAGTGATGGTATGTAGAACTCTGGCAGAAATTAATCAGGAACAGTTGCCAGCCACACTTACTTGCAATATGAGACCAATAATTCAAAGGATTCCTATGCAGGGAGATGGAGGTGGAAAGCAGGATATGGTGGCAAAAAGTTGAGCCTTTGTTTACTAGCAGGAAGAGATTGCATGCAGCGCCCTCATCTAGCTACCGTAGTCTGGCTAACAGATGTCATGGGATAGGCTGGATACCATTTCCTGAGTTCACAAGGCCACATTGCATTTTAGCATGTTCCTAACCAGTGAAAAAGTATTGATTTTTTCCTCTACCAATTATATATTGAGCTGTTGCAGCTGCTGAGAAGTTGGTTGGTAGTGCCAAGTGCCAACAAGATTCTGTGCCGTGGCAAGTCTCCCTCCAGTCAGTGCACCATATCTGCAGTGGGGCCCTCATCAGCCAAGAATGGGTGTTGTCCTCAACTCAGTGCAGCAGGAGGTGGGTATAAGCCTTTGCACACAATCTGTCTCCCACAGGGAATAAAGTCCACTCTCTGCTGTTGGCTGCTCTGTTCTCATTTGAAATAGGAGGGCAACTTGTGCACTTGACTGCCTGCCTACAAGAATCCTTGTGGGTGAGCAAGGAATCTTTCAATCCAGGCTGAGGCAGAAAAACTCTAGGGAGAACACTATTGACCCACCTGCTCTTCTTCCAGCAGCCCAGACCACATGGAAGTCTGGCTTGGCCTACAAGTCCCTGAGACTCCTCCTAAGGAGAAGCAACAGGTCATTGCTGCTGCCAAGCTGGTCCCTCATAAGCAGTTCAACAACTACACACTGGACTATGACATCATGCTCATCAAGCTTGCACAACCAGCTGTCCTGGGTGAGCTAGTGCAGCCCATCAGTTTGCCCAGCCAATGTGCCATAGCTGGGACCCAGTGCCTGGCTTCAGAATGGATCAGCAGCAACTGTGAGTACAGAGAGGGTGGTGCTGAGAGACTAACCAGGACCAGCAACAACTGTGACAGACTGGAGCAGGGGGCTGCTGGAAGATGCCCCTCTTCATGGCCGTGGGGGATTATGGTGGGGACACGCAAGGGGGCACTGAAGTTCCTTAGTGATGCATGGGATAAATGACACCATGCAAAAAAGGGAAGGGTAGATGAACGGCAAATGGTGGGAGGGAGGCACCAACAATTCATTGTACTATGATAGATTCATGGCAGGTGGCAGTGCCCCCTTGAAGCAGAAAGAGCTCAAGGAGAGAGGGGTGAGGCCTGAACATAAGAGTCTCCCTCCTGCCTTGCCCCAGGCAGCTGCTCAGGATCAACATATTTTGGGCTTACAGCTGATGGAACAGACAACCTTCTGCAGTGCTCCTACCTTCCAGTCACATCTGATGCCACTTGCAACAATGTCTACCCAGGACGGTTCACTGACAGGATGCTTGGTGCTGCACAGCTGGACAGCAGCCAAGATGCCTGCAAGGTGAGGCTCTTCTCTTTTTACTGGCAAGTCCAGTGATTGGGGGGGGGGCAACAAGCAGAGGCATACCTTGACTCCCTTGTGATCTTGGCCAGAACATCTGAAGCTGGGAGAGACCATGGACGAGAAACTCCAAAAGTTTGCTTTTTGTCACCTTTCATGCTCTGCCTGTGATTTTCTCCATGACCATCAGGACTGCTCTTCTTCCTCTCTCCCTCCCTCTCTTCCTGCAACTCTCACCTGCTGTCTCTATCTTTCTTCTATCCAAGCGCCACTTGGCACTCCACTCACAGTTCCAATAGCACCACTGGCCAACCTGGGAGATAGTCCTGCAGGGCTGATGGGATGGGTGCCTAGAGGAGCCTGCATGCCTTGCCTGGCCTCCCAGATGGGCATGTGTGCTCCTAGCCACTCCAAGCCATGGGTGAGAGGTGTGGTTTTGGTGGCCCCCTGAGCCTGCACTTTTTGGTGGGAGGTAAGGTTGTATAGGTGTCCCTGACTTTGAGTTCAGTAACATGGTCTAATTATGCGCATCCACACACACCATATAGATGAATGCTTCCCTTCAGACTAGAGCTGTCTCCAACCAAATCACTCACAAGCACAAGCATTCTCCATAGGCAGGCTAGTAGCTTACTGGCCAGACATTAACCAGAACTAAACAACAAAGCATAATATATTTGAAAAGTACAATAAAAAGCCATGTGCCAAATCCTCCCCATATCAAAGTTAAATAGTATTTATGTCATTCCCGCATTCTAGAGAGGGACAGAGGGGCTGTAAGCGCAAGCGCACACCCACCCCAACAGGGGAAGGGAAATTCTCCAGCTGCAAGAGCCAACCTCTTGGGAGGTACTTGTGGCTGGGGAAAGCCTCACACAGCTCCCTCTCTCCTGCTGCAGGCAGTGCTCCAGGGCCTGAGAGTTCAAATAACGACAGTGAGAAATTGCCATGATTTGATCCTGTCCCCTGGAGAGTCCCAATGCTGTTGTCTATGTCTTAGGGAGATGTGGGCAGCCCCCTGGTGTGTGAAGAAGCCCTCCAAGGACTGCTGTCCTGGAAGAAAAGCTGCAGTGAAGAGAATCGGCTGGGGCTGTACACCAAGGTCTGCATCTTTGAAGACTGGATCCACTACACAATTGCCAACAACTGAAGAGCAATAAAGCCAGATTGAGCTCTGACCTGGTATCTCGCTGCTCTGAGAAAGACCCTGTGATCTGGCACCACCAGCAATGCAATGACTATACAGGCCTGGCTACTGTGGAAGAGAAGGCTTCTAGGAAGTCTACCCCCCAGTCTGCCCACCACCAGAGGGATCATGGCTGAGGCAAGGGAGCAGAATCGAATGATTTGCTCCCTCACTCCTCAGCTTCCGGCACACCTCCTGGAATGGCTTGATTTCACATTATGGTAGATGTTGGTTAGGGTTTACCATGTAGGTGAGGGAATATGTTAACTATATTTTATTCCTCCACAAACCTGGCCAACAGACAAAACATCAGCTTATTGCTTGTGTTTAGAAGCACAGTGATGAGCATCTTAAACAGTAAAAACAAAAGCCTTTAGGCTGATCTCCCCCTTCTGTTACCCTGTTTATTATAGAAACAGGCCACCGACTGAAAAGTATGGTTAAAACATATAGTTTACTCACAGTCAAGCACCTGTCCTTAGCAACAACAGCAGTAAAAATAAATGCAGGTAAAGTACTTGTATTTACAGTGAAAGCAGCCTCAGGCACGAGCCTGATGCTGGAGCAAGCAGATACAAGTCTTCTCCCATTGGCTGGTTGGGGAGAGAGAGAGAGAGAGAGAGAGAGAGAGAGAGAGAGAGAGAGAGAGAAGGAACAGAAAATACTTTTCTTCTTCTTCCCTACCAAGAGAGGAGGGGAAATGAAATAACACAGAGCCTTCTCTACCAATTGCATTGATCTGAGTCCACCTAACAGCAATACTGCTCTGTGATTTTAATCCCCACACTTGCTTACTAGTAAGAATATGCATTTTAGATTTGATTTCTAAACTCCCACAATATTTACTCCATGGAGCAGTTTCGTTAGCATCCCGGCCTTCCACGGCCTAACACAGTCAAAGCTCCATGAAAGAACCCACCACACCAGCACCCACCTAGAGCTGGCTCTGAAGTCTGCCTGTTTGTGAAGTGAGGCACTTGGGGTGCTCAGAGGCCCAACCTCTCCAACGGATGTAAGTTGCAGAGCTGCTGATTTCCATACCCCCTAAGGTACCCATTTCACGCACCCCTCTGTGACATCACTGTTTCTGCCAAGAAAGTGCCTGGTAGGTTGAGGCACAACCTCTTCAGTTCTTTGCTCTTCATCCAAACTGGCTATCAGTTGTACTTAAGGAAACCATCCAACAGTCCCTTGCCTGAGCTAAGCCAAGCCCCCTTGCCCACCTCACCAGCTTCTTACAGACATCTCAGTTCTGTTTTCCCTTCATTGCCAACCACAGAGATGCCAACTGAGAGTGCCCACAAATGGCAAGTTTAGTTGAGTGTGCTCATATGCTATGTCACTGCACTGAATGGTGCCCAAAGCAGCCTGAGACAAACACCAACTGATTATCAAAACACAGCATCCTTGGAGGTTGCTACTGCTGCTGAAAGCTCTTAACTCTGTCCCTTGATAAAAACAGGGTTATGACAGGAGGGATGCATTCCATTGTCTCTGCAGGCAAGGGCGGAGGAAGGGGGTGCAGTGGGTGTGTGCCACCCTGGGCGTCACCACTGAGGAGGGTGACAAAATGCTGGGCGGCACTCACCACAGGGCCTGCAGCATGCCCAAACCACCAGTGGTCAGGACCTCATTAGCAGGACCAGTGGTCAGGGATGATGGGCCTTGTATTCCCACAACATTGGGTGACCCAAGGTGGAGAAAGGCTGTTCTGCACTGACTGGCAACCACTCTCTATCTCACACGAGGAGAGATACCTGGGTGCATTGGGTTCGCTGATGTGTTTGGTGCAGAAGTTTCCCCTACGCAAGTTGCTCTCTCTGTGGTCTTTGTGGTCTTTAAGAACAGGCGAAAAAGTCCACTGCCAGTCCTTTGGCAAACACACAGGGCAGAAGTGAAACCAACTGAATCATCTGAAGCAAACTTAACAATAATACAAGGCTATGGCTATATGCACACTAACTTGAAAAGAATTTTGTTGAGATCAATGTGACATTTTAGAACCTGGGTGAAACTATCCTGAAACGGGCAAGTCAGCATAGAGGTCTTTTTTTCTTTTTTTTTTGTCTTTTGTCTTTACATGGAATGGCTGCAGGTCTGTCCTGCACATTTTTCTGGAAGCAAGTCCCAAATTTATGGGTTCAGGGAAAGGCCCAAAGAAAAAAATCTATGCCAATCCAGGCTATTTGCCACAGAAAGGCCTTCATTTGGCACCAACACCCAAGCTAAACACGCTGTCAGTTTGCCTCAGATTCTAGAGAATTGTAGGCTTCAGAGATCCCTAAGGGTCATCCAGCCCACCCCTGCAATGCAGGAAATACACTTTGATTGCAACTGACACTCACTCACTGTTGCTCACGAGCACCAGAAGCAGGTGTTGTCCCCTTCCAACGAAAACCCAATCTGTTTTTGGAGATCTGCACACACCTCCTCAGGTTGGGCAGGTGGCCATGTTTCCATTTCACTATTTCATGAAAAGTATGTGTTGCTTGATTGTAGAACAAAAAACCTCAAAGCAGTTTACAAAACCAGCAAAAGCACAGGCAAGTGCAGCAAAATCCTTGGCAGTGAGCATGGGCGGGGGGGGGGGGCAGGGGACAACGTGGGATTTTCACTTGAGTAAATGCAGGACAGGATGCCAGTATTGCTGAGAAGCATAGCTCTTGCAGGGGGACCTCCATGGACAGATGCAACCTAGCAGGGAATGGGCTAGGCTGGGGAGGGAGGCGAGCGAAGACCAGAAGCTTAATGCTGTGATGTAGCAGCAGCAGCAGCAGCAGCAGCAAAAAAGGCGAATGCTCTTCTCGGCTGCCTCCACAGAAGTCTAGTGTGCAGATCCAGGGCCCAAATCCTGGAGAGTCAGTGTTCAAGTTCAGAGGCAAGAGCATTTATGTTGCAGGCAAATCCTCACTGGTATCTGCAAGGAGGGCTGGGAGAGACCCCCACCATGCCACCTGAAGCCCTGGAGAGCAGCAGCCAGTCAGTGTAGAGGTGGTGTGGCATAGTGGTAAGAGCAGTGTTTCTCAAACTTGGGTCCAGACAACAGCTGGGAAGAAACAGTGGATCAGAATGTCGGTCTAGGGCCCGGGAGGCCGGGGTTCAAATTCCCGTCTGGCCATGAAGCTCACTGGGTGACTTCGGGCCAGTCACTCACTCTCAGCCTGACCTCCCTCGCAGGGCTTTTGTGAAGACAGAATGAGCAGGAGTGGCAGAGCCTAGGAAAAGGGATGGGCCGCCTGTCATTCTCTCACTTTAGCCTGGGGGCTGAGGCTGTAGCTGGTGAAGGCATACGGCCAATGGGGCAGCCCCAGGTGGGTGATCAGGAGCCGGCAGTAAGCGATGAAGGTTGTGGTGAGGAAATGCCAGTAGAGAGCTCGGTCCAGAAACCAGATCTCAGAATGCGGGGTGACAACTGGAAGAGAGAAGAGAGACCGCAGGATGAGAAGAACAGACCACCCCACCTTTCAAGGGGGCCTAGGGATGACGAATTGGGCCTTGATGCTTTCTACAAAGGATAAAGGCGTTTCCAAGGGAAATTCATCCTCTGGGGCGCTTCTTCGGGTGCCTCCTCCCCAAGAGGAGGGTGGCTACACAAGAACAGGCCTTTTCTGCAGTGGCTCCCTGTTTGTGGAAGGCTCTCTCTCCAGGGAGGCTCGCCTGGCACCTTCGCAACCTATCTGTAGGCGTCAGGCGAAAATGTTCCTCTTCAACCCAGCCTTTGGCTGATTGACACCTGATATCTTTCTAAATATGTTGGGTGGGGGGATGCTTGTTTTTCTTCTTATTTTTATTATGCATTTTGTGTTTTTTATATTGCAGTTTTAGGTGGTAAACCGCCCTGAGATTTGTGGATGAAGAACGGTATGCAAATTTTAATAATAATAATAATAATAATAATAATGGGGAAAGATGAAAGCCAGGCATAGCTTGCTTCAGGAAGACTTCATCACAGGCCATGATAGAGAACAGCCTTTGTCAACCTGGTGCCCTCCAGATGTTTTGGGCTATTCATCCAAAGCCCATCAGTCTCAGCCAGCACAACTGTATGGTGCGAGGAACAGTAGTCCTGCCCTATTCCATGACAGGGACTCAGAGAAATAAGAGGGGCTGAAGACCTATAGGGAGTGGGGAATGGGGCAATCCGTCGTCCAGGAATGGCCCTACTGCAGCTATCGAACCAGACAAAGCTGGTAAAAGGCACTGCTAGCTCCCTGACACTTTCCATTAGCTCTTGCTAACATTGGATGAATTTGCAAGTCACAAGAAATAGTTGATGCAAATGAGCCGCAGTTTCTCTCTGGCGCGCATTCTTCCCCCACCTCCTTACCTCCCCAGACTTTTCCTTCTGGTTTTCCCTTGGCAACCCTTTCCTGTTTTGTGGGGGCAGTGGGGCGTCTTGCAGCAGGACCCCCTCCTAAAGTGGCTCTCTGCTATCAGCCTAGCTTCCTTCCGGGCTTGAGAATCTCCGCAGCCAGTTATTTCCTCCCAGCCTAACCTGCCTCGCAGGGTCGTTGTGATGACAAAATATGGGAGAAGTTAATGACATGCCCCATCTTGGGCTCCTCAGAGCAAAGGTGGGATATCAAGGTAATGAACAAAAATGCTCCAGGGCTACTTTTTTATTGCATTTTTATCCCACCTTTTCCTTCAAGGAGCCCAAGGTGGTTCTCTCCCTCCTCATTCAATCCCCACAACAGCCCTGTGAGGTAGACCAGGCTGACAGGCACTGACTGACCCCCCACCCCATGGCCGTGGGGATTCTGGTCTCCCAAGGGGCAAATTGTACAGGGAATGCGTACAATGGAATTTTATGAAAGCAAAACAGTACAGTTTAATGATTTTAAAAGGTGATCAAAATCCATATAAGAGACTGTCCTCAAAGAGTACTATTTACATGGATGCCCTAAAAGCTGAGTAGAGAGTCTCTCTGAACAGAAGGCCCCAATATTATCTATAAATATAGAAAAGTCTTGGAAAACTGCTTATAATGAG